GGCCCGGGTGTTATCCAGGGAATACTGAGGGAAAATGGACATGGCCCAGGTGTTATCCAGGGAATACTGAGGGAAAATGGACATGGCCCGGGTGTTATCCAGAGAATACTGAGGGAAAAACAGGAGTTTGGGGAGTCTGAAACGGCACCAGGAGGGAACAGTGGTAACATGAGCCAGGGACACCTCCCAGGTGGGAAAATGGGAGTGAGGGAGCCCTGGGGATTTATCCAGGTACAAGGGGAAGCTCTGGAATATCCCAAATTGGATGGGATAAAGCAGGGGGATGACTGGGAGGAACTGGGAGAGAAGTAGTAAGGAAAAGCTTGGAAACATTGGCCAAAGACACAGCCCAATGTGAGAAAACAGGAATGAAGCATCATTTGGTGCTTCCCTGGGGTTTTATCCAGGTACAAGGGGAAGCTCTGGAATATTCCTGCATGGATGGGGAAGTGCACAAGAGATGAACTGGGAGGAAACTGGGAGAGGAGCAGCACCAGCACCCAGGGCTGGAAGGTCTGGATCAAGCTGAATCCAGAAGAAAATGATCCCAAATTCCTGCTGGGAAATGGTGACACAGCCTGGACAGGTGAGGGGTCCCCATTGCCCCCCTCTGCCCCCCCCCGAGGGGAGAGGAACCCCCCAGCCAGGTGAGAGGAACCCCCCAGCCAGGTGAGCAGCCCCCAGCCCTCACCTGTGCGATGCCCTCGGCGAGGGGGCGGCTGAGCCAGCGCAGGGCAGCGAAGGAGCGGGCACAGCGTGACACCTGGGCAGGTGTGAGAGCCCCCAGGTGGGGCTGCAGCTCCAGGGACAGCCTGTGCAGCACCTGGGGCTGCTGGAAGTTCAGCTTACCTGGGCAGACGGGCACGGCTGAGGGCGTGGGGGCACCTGTCCCCCAGTGCCCCCACCCCAGCCGGGCACCCCAGCACACAGGTGAGAGCTGGGAAGGGTCTCCTGGACAAGGGAAGAGCCCCTTCACACAGAGCGTGCCTGGCACCAGTACAGACCAGTACGAGTCACCTCTCAGACCAGGACAGACTGGGAAGGCCTAGGGGTGGGGAATCCCCCCCAGCAACCTGGTGCCTTGGGTGGAAACACCTCCCAGTTCACCTGAGCTCAGGGAGGAACTGGGGTCACTGGGGGGACTGGTGTCACTGGGAAGGACTGGTGTCTCTGGGTGCAACTGGTGTCACTGGGAGGGACAAATGGCCCCAAGTAGCCCTGGTGTCTAAAGGGGCTCCAGGTGTGCTGGGGATGGAGGTGGGACACCTGGAGGGGCAGGACACCTGGAACAGGCTCACACTGAGCTCCCAGGTGTGCTGGGGATGGAGGTGGGACACCTGGAGGGGCAGGACACCTGGAACAGGCTCACACTGAGCTCCCAGGTGTGCTGGGAATGGAGGTGGGACACCTGGAGGGGCAGGACACCTGGAACAGGCTCCCAGGTGTGCTGGTGTTCATGCCTGGAGCACACGGGTAACGTACATCGCCCCTGTTCCACCCCCAGGATCGGGATAACCCACTGGAGAACAGCTCCTCGGGCTCCCTGGATTCCCTTCTCCCACCTGGCTGGAGAACAGCCCACGGGAAGGTTTGGGACCCCAAAGCTCACCCAGCTGCCCCCACCTGCCACCGGCCTGGGTGGTTCCCAGCCCCGTCCCACGGGATCCGTCCCCAGACCCGTGCCCAGGCACCCCTGGCACTCACTGTAGGCGAAGAGCAGGTCAGTGAGCACGGGCAGCCCCAGCTCGGGGGGTTTCTGCAGCAGGTGGTAGGACAGTGCCCGCAGCAGGGGCACGCAGCGGCGCTGCTGCAGCGCCAGGGCCATGGCCATCCGCCGGATCTCATCCACATCCAGCTGCTCCGCCAGCTCCAGGGCCTGGGGACAGGGACAGGGCACAGCTGAGGGGGGATCCCCTCGGCATCCAGCTGCTCTGAGGCGCCAGGGCCTGGGGACAGGGACAGGGCACAGCTGAGGGGGGATCCTCTCAGCATCCAGCTGCTCTGAGGCTCCAGGACCTGGGGACATGGGAGATGGGGCACAGGGGACAAGGGAGAGGGGATCCCCTCAGGGTTGATCTGCTCCACCAGCTCCAGAGCCTGTGGAAAGCGGGGCAGGTGAGGGGGAGCAGGTGAGGGGGATCCCTTCGGGATCAAAGCGCTCCATCGGCTCCAGAGCCTGGGACAGGACAGGGGAGACAGGGCACAGGTGAGGGGGAAACCCTCGGGATCAAAGCGCTCCATCGGCTCCAGAGCCTGGGACAGGAGGACAGGGGAGACGGGGCACAGGTGAGGGGGGATCCCCTCGCGACCCAACTGCTCTGCCAGCTCCAGAGCCTGGCACGGGGGTGACGGGAGAGGGGGGAACAGTGCCCAGGTGTCCCACGTGCCCAGTCAGTGCCCAGGTGTCCCCCGAGCCCCCCGCAGTGCCCGGGTGTGCGCAGGTCCCACCTTGTCCTCCAGGCGCTCCATGAGGGCGGGTGCCAGGTGTCCCACCTTGGCCATGAGGGTCACCACGGTCCGTGTCCCCTCCAGCTCCGTCCAGCGCAGCTCCAGCTTGCGCAGCACCTCGGGCAGGAGGGGGCTGTCCCTGTGCCCCGCCAGGTGCTCTGCCAGCTGCACCAGCTGGCGCAGGGGGAGCCGCCGCAGCCGCCACAGCACCTCCTGCTCCACTGAGCGGACCTGGCGCCCGGCACGGGGCAGCCCCAGCACGGGCAGTGCCCGCAGCACCTGCACCAGCGTCACGTTCCACACCTGAGAGATCTGCGACAGGGACACGGTGGGACAGCTGGGGACACCCGGGACATCGGGAACAGGGACAGGGTGGGAGAGGTGTGCCACACCCGGGACATCGGGAACAGGGACAGGGGGGGACAGCTGGGGACAGGGACA